ATCTTATTACAAAATTATAAAATTTTTCATGAATTTACATTTTTCAATAAATAATAGTAAACATCTCTTTTTTAAAAAGTAATAGTAGTAAACATCTCTCATCTTGTATGGAATTCGTCAAATTCATTGCCTTTTGTTTGTGATCCTCTCGACGTGACCTAATGATTAGGTCACTTCAAGTTCATTAGAATTTTTTTTTTAAAAAAATTTATTATTAAAAGTTTCACTCTTTTAAAGATCTAACAAGATAAGTTATTCAAAAATTTGTGTTAAATTATTTGGTGTAACTTCTACTCATATTTTATTAAAGAATATTAACTTAAATAAATTAAAAAAAGTTAATTATTTAAAAATTAAAAGAAAATGTTTTTATTTCTACTTTTTAATTATCAATTTTTAATTTATCAAAAACTGCATCAAACAGGCCAATGTTTAGCCTGTGATTTTTAAAAATCTTAGTCAAATTTTGGAGATGTCATAATCTCTAATTTTTTTTCTCCCTCTATTTTCTCCTTTCATGATATTTTAATGGATATAGGTCATGGTGGAACCACATTCATTTCTTCTTAATTCATCTCATTTCTCATGTTGTACAACATATAATTTTTTTGGACCAATTATACTAACAATTTTTGTAGTTTGGATTTCAAAGTTGTCGATATATTTGACTTTTAAAAAAATAGAAACTAATTTAACGAAAATAAATATGAAAAAAAATTATTTTAAAAAATTATTTCTATCCTCAAAAAAAATAAAATTATATAAAAATGATATGTTTTTAATTTTTTTCACTAATTTAATTTTTAGTTTCTTAGAAAAAAAATTTGAAAATAGATTCTGAAAATCAAACTAAAGATAACTTTATAACCAAGAAAGTATTAACATTTCATTAAAAAAAATGCTATTACATTTCAAATAACATACAAGTTAACAAACACAAAATAATTTTTATGACGACTTTGTCCTTGAAATAAATCATTTGCAAATAAAACATCTTTGATTGTCTTTGTTTGGAATCCAAAACTTAAAAACATTTCATATTTTAAATATATCGATTACACATTAAAAACCTAATAACCATCCAAAAAATACCAACAAAAATAATTATCCATTACATGATCATCATCCAAACACATACTAAAAAGTAATTTGGTAAAAAATAAAAATATAAAAGATTTATCATTTTTATATAATTTTATCTTTGGTGGGTAGAAATAATTTTTAAAAATTCAAAAATAATTTTTTGACATTTATTTTGTTAAACTAATTTATATTTTATCAAATTAATTACTTTGTCCTTAGAATGAAGCAGCAGTGTTTTCAATTGTCTTTATTTTGAATAAAATTCAAAATTCAAAATCAAATGTATCACAATTAAAAAATCAAGAATTAAAGTGATAGAAGTTTAAAATTATAGAGACCATTAGTGTAAACTGCCCTTATTTTTTTTAACAAGAATTAAACACAAATACAAGATAATGAGACAAGACCGACTTCTTTTGTATCACGTCTGTGACCGAATTTTGAACAAATCAAAACCATAAAAACTGCCTCTAGGTCATGGAAAGGTAGGGTTGTAGATGGGGTGGCTAGGGTAGCCATTGTCAAGGAGCACATGGTTGCAGAGAGACATACACAGACTATCATCTTCAAATCACAGGGCTTTGCCGATAATCGAAATGACTCTTGCTTGTGGATTTGTGGTTACAATAGAAAGCCCAAATCCTCCATTTTGGATTTGTAGTTCAGCTTGAAAGTGACAATCATTCTTTCTTCAACTTGTATCTATTGGATCAAATATAATCTCTAAATTATGCCTTCAATTACAAACAACCATCTAAATCATTAAAAAAATAATTAATCAAATTCACTTTAGGTTACTAAAATATGCATTTTGTACCACTTTAATTTTTAATTATTGTCAATGTCGATAAAAATTATTGTGTTAATGTTATTCAATTGATTGGCTTCTATACGAATTCTTAATACAAATAATAATGAAAATTTAAATATTATAGGCTTAATAGTATTATTCACTCTTAAGGTTTGGTAAGGATGAGAGAAATATAATCAAATGTTATTTGGGGAGATTCAAATGTTATAATTTAGAGATTCAGAATCACATTTTCATTCTCTCTCAAATTTTTTATTATTCAAAACTTAAATAAGGTTATGTTTCATCTTTTTCATTTGTATTTAGGAACCAAAGTAATCAAATTATTATTATTTTTTAAAATAATATGATACAAAATTCATACTTGAAGAATATACTTCATTATCATTTTGTTAAATTATTATATATAATTTTATTTTTTACTTCATTTTCTCACTCTAACACATAAATTAGTTGGTTTCATATGTATTTATGAACGCGGATCCCATTACTTTTTATCTAGGAGTAAGATTATGAAAAAAGAAAATATAATTGCATATAATATTGCTTCAATTTAATAGTCTATTTGAATTCAATCAATTTGACTTAAACTTAAAAATCGAAGAACCAAATGACATAATTAAAATTTGAAAATCAAAACTAATACTCTTTGTATGCTTAACTATTAAACTCTTATCAGTATTTTTTATTTGTGCAAATCATACGATTAAGAGGTATCTTACACTCCTTAAAGCAGTTCAAAAAATCCTACTTAAAACACGGTTTCAATTGTCCTATTTGTTATCATTTTGCAGAAGAAACAGTTAGGTCTCGTTTGGCAAGTTAATATTTTAGTCAAAAAGTCAAAAAATTATTAAAAAAGTCAAAAAACCTATAATATATACAAAAAATTTAGATATTTTCTTTTCTTTTTACTTTTTGCACATTTTTTAGTAAAAAATCAAAAAATTACCTTAAACAGATTAGTTTTTTTATCTCATATTTTAATTAAAAAATTAAAAAATTATCAAAATAATCTATTCCTAAACGAGGCCTTTAACCTTTATTTTATTTTACTTCATATCATCATCTGTCTAATCTTCTCACCACAATTTTGATTTTCCCAAATTTTATATTAGTCACTGTCTTTATTCTTTGGAGGGGGATCTTCCTTCCTTCTTAGCCGGGTGTCGGTTCGATTGTCCTTTACTTGCATATTCAAATGGCTCTCTCTCTCTCTCTCCGCACAAAGACAAAATAGGCCAACAGAGACTTTTTGTTTGTATCCATTTTTTTTATGATTTTATACAACCTATCCTCTCTTGGGGTGCCTTTTTCATGGGAACAAAACCTCATTCTTTCCCCTACCCTCTTGTTTATTACCCACCACAACCTTCCAAGAAGTGAGTCCCCATGCCACGGCCAACAAATAAAGATACATCAAATAATAAAAAACGGTCTAGCTTGTCCATAGTTAGAGATTAAAATTAAACCATCAAATTTGCTTAGTGGGCTTATTTTTGGATCTTGTTTTGATAATTTGAATTGTTTGCATTTTGAATTCATCAAGTACATTATCTTATAAAAAATCAAGTCAATCGAATAATGACAATTACGTGTTCGAATCAATTTTATATGAACCATTTATTTTTCATCTTTCAATTTTTTTATACAAAATTGATTTGAACACGTAGTTATCGTTATCCGATCGACTTGATTTTTTACACGGATAATGTACTCGACGAACTCTAAAATGTGAACGATTCGAATTATCGAAACAGGACTCAAAAGTGGGCCCACGAAGTGGACCGGATAGTCTAGTCTTGATCTCCAATTGGAGACAAGCTGGACCCAATAAAAAAATAAATAAATTGCAATAATTTTGTTTGCAATTTGAACAAAATATATCGTCTCTCAAAAATTTAACATAATTATGCTGAGTTTTTTTAAAATTTTCATATATTTTACACTATGTATGTCTTTATACATTATCTGCATTGGTTCTGATTATTGCAACCCTATTAACAAGTAAGTTGGTGTAATTATATTAAATTTATACACCTTACTTTTAACTACTTTTTTTGAAATCTCAGGGATTGGTTAGTTTAATTTACCCAAAGCAAGTGTTATCTATCTCCAATAAAATATATATATATATATATATATATTTAAAAAAGAGTACTCCTTTTCTCTATTTCTTTTATTCTGGTTGCTGTTTAGTACACAACAGAATTTAATTAATTTAAATACAGTGAAGATTGCCCAACAAATGGACTTATATTAATAAATACATATGAAACCTACTCATATCTATAGGTAAAAAAATGTGATAAGAAATAAAATTATATGTAACATTTTAAGAAATTTAAAAACTCAATATATGTATTAAATTGTGTGGGGGTGTAGGTCACTCCAATTCACACATTTCAAATTTTAGTACTTTTATAAAAGTAATGATTGACGAAAAGGAAATCCATACACAATGAAGTAGTTCAGTTTAAATTTTTCATTTTAAAATAAAATATTTTTGACATAATTTTTATTTACAAATATAAGATTACTACATCATTTTATTTTCTATAATTTTTCTGTATGAATATAGTTTTCCCTTTTAAAAATACAAATTGTAGGTTACTTAGCATTTCACAACATGAAAACATAAATGAAAAAAAATTCAAAAAAGAATTTTTATATATAAAATTTATTCAAATGATGTGAAAGTAGTATTTTTGCAACCATGGGCCATAATTGACAAGTGTTTTAAAGGGAAAAAAAATAATGTGTTGAATTGATGCACAAAAATCCAGCTTGCATGCCATTAATGAAGCAAAAATACAAATTCAATATTTTGCCTTGAAATGAAAACACACAAAAACAATAGCAATATGAGATAAAAAGTAAAACTCACATGTGGTGAGCGTTACCAGCGTGTCTCAAGTCAGGATTTTTCACAGTAATTTTTTGTTAATTAATTTTAGAGTGATAAAGTTAAGATTTAAAATTTGAAATGTGAAATGATTATTATATTCTCGACTTTTATAAAATTAAGATATCTTGACACGGTACCATCTATTTTGTGAAACAATTATATATTTCTAACATAATTGCAATAGGAAACTACCCAAAATTTATGTACAAAAATGATAATTGTATAACATTACTCAAACAAAAACACAAACACAAACATAACCTAATCATGTCCACCCAACTTCCACACCATTGTGATCATTAACATCAACCAAACCGATTAAAGGCACACAGCCGAACCGATGAAAGTGCTTTGTCAAAATACTTTGCTTTGGTGCCGAGGTACTCAGTCCAAGTCACGGGTCGGTAGAGAGGCGGGTGGGTCAGGTCTACCAGTTTTGAGAGTGGTGAGATTTGAACATTGGGTCCACACCATTGTGATCATACACATCAACCAAACCGATTAAAGGCACACAGCCGAACCGATGAAAGTGCTTTGTCAAAATACTTTGCTTTGGTGCCGAGGTACTCGGTCCAAGTCACGGGTCGGTAGAGAGGCGGGTGGGTCAGGTCTACCAGTTTTGAGAGTGGTGAGATTTGAACATTGGGTGGTGGGCCATAGAGGTAGGCAACCGAGAGGCGGTGTCGGGTCCGGTTCACCATAGCCCGGTGGAGCACACTCGGGTACAACCCGTTTGATAGTATGTGAAGGAGGTCCCCTATGTTGACCACTAGAGTATCAGGTATGGGTGGAACCGTGACCCACCCATATCCGTCTCGGTGGACCTCTAAACCACTTGTGTTGTTTTGGTAGAGAATGGTGAGCAGGGTTGAGTCGGTATGGGCAGCTAGACCCATGGCCCGGTCTGGCTCCGGACATGCCGGGTAAGAATTCAGCTGTACGGCTGCATTAGCCCCTTTGAAATCTCCTTTTGGGCCGGCCCATTTGACATCTTCTTTGGATATGTCCAATGATCCAAGCATTAGCCACATTAACCTCCTTGCTAGGATCTTCATTTCTTTCTCATATTCTTCAATCACATCACTAAAACAAAAACAAAAAAAAGTATATATTAAAAAAAATTGTAATGAGACATAAAGATATTATTTGATTCTCACCAATGCTATCAATCTATCTTCATGCATGAAATCATTGTCTCACTTTCTGTACCATCGCCTTTCTTGTATTATTTTATTTTTTCATTTGGACGACATGGTAATGGGGTATTTTGAGAAGATAATTAAAAGTTAACTATTTTGCTTTTTTTAATTTTTTGAACTTTTTTTTTATGTAAAAAATGATATGATTCAAAATGAATTAACAACTGACTTTTAACTTTTTTTTTATATGTTCCCAAATGGCCCAATATGAGATGGGAATGGGATAAAAAATGAATCAGGAAGTGAGATAAATAATCAATACTCATCACTCCATATCTTATTTTGGATGGGAATCTTCTGTCTCAACATATCTATTCTTCTGTCTAATTTATGGGTAATCATTGAGTAATTCCGGAGCATGAACAAGTGAAATTTCATAATATTATGATTAGTGAAGAAGATGGGTAAGTGGAGTATTATGTTAGGTGATTGAAAAACATAAGAAGCATATTAAATAATGATTGGTTAAGAAATACAGACACTTAATAGTCTGAAAATATTAAATAATTTCCCTTAATTTACTTACTATTACATGATCGTGTGGGTGAAAATATATTGGAACAAATGGATGAGAAAAATTGGAGAGAATCATGTTCCTTTTGTGGGACCATGATGTCATTTGCTTTAAATATATGTGGGTATTTGAGTATAGAACTTTTTACCACAAAATCTATGGTGCAACAGGAAAAGCAACTTTACAGATATGTTTGTTAACTTTAGGTATGTTAACTTCAGATATATTTATATCATATGTAGAAGAAAAAAAAAATTATGGAAATTTAATCACTTCTTTGTAAATTATACGTGCATGAGCATGTGAAGGTGTACCAGAAATTGCTGTAATCTTGGGGCCAAAGTTGGCAAGCATGTTCTAGTGGTGATCCGAAAATTGTGAACCCTTCAGACCACATGAGTTTGGGAAAGAAGGGAGAAATCCGAGCAACACCGTAACCGGAAACACCCTCTGGCGATCGAGCGGCTTTGAGCTTTTGCTGGATAGGGAGAGAGAAAAGGCTCTTCCCTGCGGATTCAACGCGATTGAGAACGCTCGTGTTGATACCATGGTTCGTGACTTGGAACACACCCCAAGTCCTGCATGCATGGCCCACGAGTTCCATTGCATTTGGATCATTGAGATCAATAACGGGTACTGACTCCTTAGTACCCGTTATTGTCTCAACAGAGTCACTCAAAGAATACTTCTCGAGTGATGTCCATGCATGGGACTCGGGCAATTCTTCTAGTGAATTGAAGTCTAGATGTTTATAAGGAGAGTGAACAGTGTGGGTTCTAAAGGCATCGGAGACTCTCGAAGGCATAGCGAATATGGAGTTAAAAGCAAAAGTTTGTTAGAACTTTGGAGAATAGGGTTTGAACAGTACTCAGTAGGAGCTTCTTTTGGTGCTGGTAATAGTAGGGGATGTTATGAGAAGATGGTTTGTATAGTAATAGTTGTAGAGGAAATGATGGCTTGTCTAGTGTATATATAACAGGTGAAGGAGAAGATGCTGACAAGATGGAGGGTAATATAGTGTCGAGGATTTTCTGTTTTCAAAATTTACGTCATTTTTATCTCTAATATACTCTCTCTATTAATAATTTTATATTTATATTTATACAAAATTTTCATTTTTTTGTATTTTTTTTTAATCAAAATACTCGCTATTATCTTTTCAATTTCAAAAATGAAATAGAAATATATATATATATATATATGAGAAAATAATTTTGTTGCAATATCAAAAACTTTTTAAAAAATCTTTATATAAGGTTATTTGGCACCAATTCAGTTTTGTGAGAGTCAGCACTCCTCTTATTAATTATGATTAAAAATATATTAAAAAAAAGATAAAAAAAATTAAAAATAAAAAATTTTGTACATGAAAATAGTAGAGAAATAGTGTGTTGGAGGGAGAGGTATATCTTTTGAGTGGTGTTGGGAGGAGTGTTGATGGGAGGGGACAAGATATGATAGAGGGGGTAATTGTAATTGGACAAGAGAAAGAACAAAAACGGAAAGGACCGTCTTGTCCTCTACAAAAATAATTTTACTGAACAAAGTAAAAAAATAGAAATTTTAATTTAATTTAACTTTTTTAAAAAACAAAAAACATCTCAACTCAAACCTTTAAAAAATACTAGAGGAAGAAGGGTTCCATTGAGGGGAGGGTCTACCCATCTCCATGTGCCCTTGTCTTGTAGAAAAACATCTATATCACCTCCTCTCTCCTCTCTTTGGCCCTATAGTCCCTCTCTTTACTACAAGACAGACAACAGGGAGCTACTATTTGCACACACTCACTACAAGAAATTATATTTTTGGCGATTAAATTTGGCTACTAAAATTAGTTTAGTCGCCAAAAGTCGGCACTTTTGCGACTAAAATTTGAATTGATCGGCAATGTTTCATATTTTAGCTACTAAAATTTTTTAGTAGCCGTTTATTACTTATTGGCGACTAAAAACATAATTAGTAGCTAAAAAATGACCCAATCAGCGACCAAAAAACAGTTAGTGGCTAAAAATAGCCCAATAGGCGACTAAAATATAATTAGTAGCTAAAAAGTTACTCACTAGGCGACTAAAAATTACTTAGTCGCTAAAAAATTACCCTATAGGCGGCTAAAAAAATTTTGGTCCCTAAATGCATAATCTTTAGCTACTAAAAATAATTTAGTCGGTATTAATATACTTTTAACGACTAAATTTTAGTCGGCGATTATAATTAAAAAAAATTTAAAATTAGACTTCAGATTTTGGAGGGAAAATTAATTGGCTACTAAAGTCGGTAGTCGGGAAAAACGTCTTTATTTATTATTGGCGACTACAAAAATTGGTCAGGAAAGAAAATAAACTAGGTTTAAAAAATACACTTCCACATGCTCAAACTCTCTCATACGTTGTCTGTCTCTCACTCTATGACTCTCTCTCTCTCTCACTCTCTCACGCCTCTGCCCTCCGCCAGCTCTCTCCCTCACTTTTGTCTCCATCGTCGTCGGGTACAGGAGCATCACCACCATCGCACACGAGCACCACCGTCAATCCACCATTGGAGCATTGCCCCAGGTATGTCCTCTCTCTATTTTGCCCTCTCTTTATCTTTCAGTCTCTCTTCCCCTAATTTCAGCCTCTAGGGTTTTCTTCTTCCATTTGCATACCTTCACACATACCTGACCCCAAATCGATGGGGTTTTTTCTTCTAGGGTTTTCTGCTCTGTTTTGATCTTAGGATTGTGGGTTTGATGGCTGCATTTGTTCTTGTTTATCATTTAGATTTTTTTTTTAATGCTTCTATTGTATACAACGCGAATCCATTGGAAGATTATTCGAGCAATCTCATTTTTTCGTCACCCCAAATTTTGAAGTGAATGTTTTCTTTTTTGTGTTTTGATTCATTGTTGAATTTATGTTTTTCTTCGTAACTACAATGGCTCAGAAGCAGTTTGAAACAATGCCTCTCTCAGTCCAGAACACCATCTGGGTATCTCTCAAAAGACACAAATCCAGATAGGTTCTTCTATTTTCTCAATATCTTTGTATGTGCAGGTCAAATTAACGGTTTGGATTTGATTCTTAGCTGTGACTCTGCGTTTTAGTAGTTATTCATTCTGTTTTAATATGATTTTTATTGGATTGGTTTGGAATGGTGTTTTCTCTGTTTGTGTTGGTGTGTATAGATAGTGTGTATATATAAATCTGTAGTATGTATGATTTAAAATAAATTTGGTTGTATAATTCTGTTTGTATATATATAAATACGTTTATATGTATGAATTTTTTGTATAATAAAAGAGTGAGAAATAAATTAAGAGAAGTATACAAATAGAGAAGAAAAGCCATAGGGGTATTATGGTCATTTTAAGCCTATCGTTAACAGAGTTTGAATTACTATTTAATTCAAAATTACAAGATAGTTCTCCGTATATTTTTAAATCATAAGGGGTAAAACGTTTCAATCATAAGGATAAAATGTTCTGAGCTTAAAATACAAAGGGGTAAAGTAAATTTTTCCCTATTAATTATTAACTTTGTTTTTATCATTGTTATAATTTGTGGGGATGAATTGCATTGTAGAGGTTGGATTACATTAGAGGGGACAATATTTTCAATTGTGGCAAGGCATCAAACGTACCCTTTAAGTCCACAGCCACAAAATAAAATGAATTTATCTTTGGCTATTTCAAATAGAAAATAATTTACAAACTAAATTTTTATATGTAAAATTCATAAAATGATGAGATGGTGTTATTTTTGCAATTTTATGTGAAAGATATTTGCCTGAAAATGAAAGGAAAATATTTTGTTCCCGTTTGGGAAGTTGGTTGAATTTTTTTTTTTTTTTGAACTAGAAGTTGATTGGGACTAAAAAAGTACAAAAAAAAATAAATTAGATAAGTTAATAAAATAAAATGTCACATCTAAACCATAATTATTTTACAAAAAAAGTCAAAAAGTCAAAACTCTCTTCTTAAACGGAGCTAATTTAGCCAAAAAGCTAAAAGTTCGGCTAAAAAAGTTCTTCCCAAACAAATATGTTGAAAGACCACTCTAGAATTCTAAAGTGTTTTTTAGTTAGCTCACGGTCATAATTAATACCTTGAAATCACTTATTAAGAAATTTTTAATGCTCTTACATTTTTTTATAAAATTGTGTGCGATAAAAATTGTATGATTATTTTAAATTTTGTTATTAATGTCCTTACAACACTTGCTAACAAAATCATTAACTACATTTGATCTTCAATGTTTTAAATTGTGTCAAATAAGAACAAGAGGATTGGTATGTATCACATATTTTTTAAGCAAGTCTAAACACTCCATTCTAATCCACCTTTATTCTAGCAAACCAAACACTATCACTATGTTTGGTTGAGAGATTTAGAAAGAGATTTGGAAAGGAAAAAGGAAAACGTAGGTAAAATGTGAATAAAATATGCTTGCATTTCACCTAATTTTACACACATTTTCCCTCTTCCTTTTCAAATCCATTCCCAAATCTCACAACCAAATACAACATATATGTGATCATCAATCAAGATTATGAAGAATGGCTAGTTGGTGCAAATGCAAAGGCAACAGGGCAATGGAAATGATTCTCTTCAACAATCTAATCCTTGCCCCATGCTAATTACAGAAAGTTTAGTTTACAAAATAAAGGTAAAGGGTGAGCGTTCACACGTGAATTTCATTCATTATTTCTATTCTGTGATACATTCTATAATTTACTTATAATATAAAAAATTAAAAAAAGCTCTTCATTCCTTCTCAGAAAAGTGCATACTATTTGTAAGCATTTTTCGAGGGAAATGTTGCAGACAAAGTAGTATTTGACCAAGTTTATCTAACTTGGCCGGCCCCAAGCCACGACACAGCTTCTCACATAGATAACCCTCCTGCTTTGCATAAGGAATGACGATCTATATAATGAATTTTGCAGACAAACTATATGTCTATGTGGGGACTCCACTTCATTTTCCTTTGAAATTCTTCAATTTGAGCTCAAATCAAATTATAGCAACAACCCAATTCTATCACATGTTCACAACCAATTTTTCATTTATCCCCCCTTGAAACCATGATCCCCAAAAAAGGCTTCAAAACAAGACCACATAATTCTTGCCTTTGCTGACCCCACCCCACCATCAAATAAATTCTTCCTTTCTTCCCAAGGAAAAGGCAGATACATTTGTCAATTAAACAAATGATTTATAAGTCCAATATGATTTTTTTGTTTTTTTATAATATTCTATGTGACATTCCACCCTTTTCTTTTCCCTGTTTTTTGGTTTGTCAATTAGTGGATCTTGGAATACCTCTTTCTCGGATGAGAGTGCTATATTAGGTACCACCTTTTTTTTTATAGTCTTTTATATCACTTGATAGAGAGGATGTGACCATTTTTTGAAATATAGTATGTTGATAGATAAAATCATTGGTTGAAAGGGTCAAGGCTTCAACTAGCAAAGTAAGTAACCGATACATAGGTAAAAAAATATTTTTTATGTAAAAATTATTACATAAAAACCTCAGTATTCTTTTCCTTGGTAATAGAGTTCATCGAGAGTAGTGATAGTGATCATTTCTGTAAGTTGCATTTGCTTGCAAACCTAAAATTAGCATTTGATACTTGCCTTTGGAACAAAGATACTTTTTGCTTTTTCATCAGAGGCAAATGTTCAATTGACAATTGTAGATATGGAGCCAAATATATTTAGTTGCATGTTATGAGTTGATCATGTTTCTTTTTTCGTATTGGGTTCATTTTTCTTACTTTGTTGTCATGACTATTTGATATTTAAAAAAAGGTTTGATCAAGGAAAGGGTATTGGTTTCATTCCTACTACACATTGAAAATTTTACTTCTTAGTATTTAATGGATTCCTGTGTTCAAAGGGTTCTAAGTAATGAAAGTTAATGTAAAGGAGAGACTGATTTTTGTTTTGTTACTCATTTTCACTTTTCGTTACTAAGTTGTTCTATCC